GCATACACCACAAAGTCTTTCTTAGAGGGATCCAAATTTCACAGCCACACATCTCCAAATCCCTCCTACACGCCTCCCGCTCTTCCACACACAGCCCGTCTCCTCTCTGTTATGTCCTCTCCCAGCATCGGCACCTCCCAGCCAGGACACCCAGGAGGGCTGAATCCACAACGGAGTACAGTGTAGTCAGTCCAGTTTCCCACTGGGCAGAGCAGGCACTTTCAGGCCCCAGGGTGGCAGTGCTGAAATCAAAATCACAGGACAGCTGGTTCCACAGGGCACCTTCGTCTCCTGTCCCCCTGGGCAGCCGACACGACACAGGGGGCTGGCTGCACAGTGATTTCCAAATTCACCAGTTGCCCAGAACATGCCAAAAGGAGGGAGGGCACACCCACAGTGGGTGAGAAGTCATCTGCCTGTCTGTTCTGCGCAGGGCCAGTCAAGACAACTAGAGACACTGACGCCTGGAAGATGATGGTTAATGACTTAGAAATTTTAAATAAAAACATTACTGTGCCATAAGGAAGTATAGGATCATGAAGTTTTGATTTTCCCCCATCTGATGATTATCTCGTGTGTGTGTGTGTGTGTGTGTGTGTGTGTGTGTGTGCGCGCGCGCGCGCTACCCTGGAGAATTCAGACAGCTTAACTTTGGACAAAGAGGCAGGGAAGAAAGCCCAGGAAGAAACTCAAGAGGCTAGCAGGGAGGCAAAAGTGTGTGTGTGTGTGTGTGTGTGTGTGCCAAACTATTTATTACCCTATAGAGTATGCTGAACTTGCCATTGAACCAGTGAGCAAGCCAGCCTGGAGCCACCAGAGAAATTGAGATGTCTTTCCTGGCACTTTTCATGAATTGTGCTGGGGTCAGAGATGGCTGGTTGATTGCTATGCAGAACAGTGCAAAGTGACCACATGGACAAGCCAGGGTTCCTCTGAGGTCTGTGCTGCCTAATTCAGACCTCCCACCTCCTGTGCTGCAGCTCAGGCTTGCTGGCTCCAACCTGGGAGCTACACCCTGAAGGCCAGGGAACTGGCTGCTGTGCCACAAAGGCCAGCTGTGAGATCCTGGGAGAGGCCCTTCCCGCCACACTTCCCCTCATATGCTCCCAGGGCTGGCAGAAAAGCCAGTGTGAGCAGTGAGTGGAGAGGCCAGCTTTCTCACAGACGGTCCAGTCCTCAGCACATAGAAGGTAACCCCTAAAAAGCCAGGAGAGCTGGAAAGAGCCCTCTGCTGCCAAGCCTGATGATCTCTGATTTTGATCCCTGGGATCCACATGGTAGAAGGCACATCCAAATATATATATACAGATAAATAAATATGCTAAACAAAAAGCAAACAAAGGACCAAGTCTGAGGCAGGGAAGGGCTCCCAGATATTACCCCCCAGCTTTTGATCAAGAAGCCACTGTTCCTGGTGTACTTCCCTAAGTACACCAAGTAACTTCCCCAAGGCCACATGTGTCAGCAAACAACAGTCACTATGAGAACCTGCCAGACTCAGAAGCCTAAGGTCTCAGTCACACTGCACCCTTCCCAATCAACAGATATAAACAGGGAGATTCAAAATACAAGTGCAGATATGGCCACACCACCATGAACATGCCCCACCTCACAGTGTGTGTGTGTGTGTGTGTGTGTGTGTGTATGTATGTATGTATGTGTGTGTGTGTACTAATCATACGGGATCTGCCAGGTTGTGCCAGCTACTACATACATTTTAAAATATAAGCCTCACCACACCCTCAGAAGGTAAAACTCATAACCCCTGACTCACAAAGGAGAAATCGGGGTACAGTCAAGCCATCTAGCCAAGGCCACCTTGCCTACAGAGAGATCAGAAATGGAGCCCCAATATACCCAACACACCCATGTAAGTGGGTGGCCTTTCTTTCAGGGACTTATCAGATTAGGAGTTTGAAAGTCTTGAAAGGAGTCAAATATTTCCCAGCCTTCCAGAGAAAAGCAGAGCAGCCAGAGAGGGGAATCAACCCCATGAAGTAGTGAGAGCCAAGCAGTTGCTAGATAAAGGGGGTGCAGGAGTCGGGTAGGATGTCACTACCCTGGAAAATTCAGCCAGATTGACTTTGGACAAAGGCAGGGAAGAAAGCCCAGGAAGAAACTAGGAGACCAGCAAGGAGGCAACAATAAAACACTGGAAGCATTTTTAAATATTAAATGTCTAGAGCTGGAGCTGGGGCTTAGCAGTTATGAGCATGGGCTGCAACTTCCCAGCACCCACAAAGCCACTCATGACCATCTGTAACTCTAGTTACACCCTCTTCTGGCCTCCTCGGGCACCAGGCATGCAGACAAAACACCTGTACACACACACACACACACACACACACACACACACACACACACAGCTTTCAAATTGCCAGGAGATTTAAAGGTAGAGGCCAGAGGACTAGCTTCTCCCAATATATTTATCATTCCTATCTTGCTAGGCAAAAACTGATCTTTAATCTTTAATAAGTTGGGATTTTATTTAAAAAAAAAAACTAGAAGGGTAAGGTTAATTATTCACAGAGTTGCAATTTACTTAAGAGTTGAGGGAATGAAAGTTTCCTTCCACAAGCAATACCTGAGTCCAGCATGGGTCTCCCTGGAGGTCTGGCTAAAACCCCCCCTCCCATCAGCTTTCCACCTTGCATTTAGCTGTTTCCTGAAGAAGGTTCCAACACAAACAAGCCTGGCCATCCAGTCACTTCCTTTAGAGAATCCTTGAGGTACCCATCTTCCAATGATGGAATAGGGTGTGGTGCAGGGGCCAGGAGGGAGGAGTCTACCAGGAGACCCAGCAGAGTGGCAAAGCCTTCAACTAAAACACTTACTGTTGCTAAATGCATTTGTTTAAATCAAAGCAGAAATCAGCTGTTGGAGGACAGGCTAGCCCAGCCTAGTGCCTAGCTCAACCTTTTTATCTTGTAAAGGGGACACCCCAACTCCCCACCCCCCTCCCCCAGTCCCCCCTCTCCCCCCATCCCCACAAAGCAAATAATACACTTCCCCCCAAAGAAATGAAAGACCGAATAATTACATTAAAAATCCCAAACACCTGGCCAGCCATGGCCTGCTGAGGAACAGGAGGCTACCGACATTGGGGGCATTCTGATTCCCAATGACTTATGTCCTACATTCCTAAGTTTGTCCCCTCTGAGGCGGGTGAAAAAGCAGCCAGCTGGGCAAGGTTTTCTGCATCCCACGGCTCCAGCTCACTTCTGTGGATGTTTTATGACCACAAAAAAACTATGGAGATTTCCACTTCATTTACTTTTTGATACCGATGCCGGGGAGAGGCAATGGTTCAACAGTGTTTTTTCCAGACTGATTCAGCACCCCCAAAGGGAGCGTTTTTCTTAATTAGGAACAAAGGTTCCAGTTGAAGTGCCCACCGGTTCCACTCCCTAAACAATTCTTCTCAAAATGGAATTTGTCAAGATGCTAAGACACTCCTATACTTCAGGCAATAGCACATTCCATCAACTAGAACCTGTGGGTCAAAGCTTACAGGAACAAAACTCGGGCTATGATCCTTGCTGGGGCTCACCAGCCCAGTCTTGGTTTCTTTCCACACCTGGTTCCCTCTCCGGTTCTCACTGCCACCTAAGGCCAGGGGGAGGAACAGCCCAGGTTTGATTTGTACAGGAACTATTTTCACGTGGCCCACAAGCGTGGGAAGCCTGTGGGGGGAAAATACCTGTTATATGGTCTTTGTACAACTGCCCAAGAGGTGAGCCAACCTGGTTTCTTCCTTCCCCAGCCTCCAAGCTTCTAGAAATCTCTCTCGTTTCCCAGTGCCAGGAAGAGGGGCCAGCAGTGTCCTATTTGGTCAAATTGCCCTTCATACAGAATTCAAGTCTCCTAAGGGCACGCTCCTAAATGTTTTTTCAAAGCTGCCCAGACAGCCACACAACCATAAAGACAAAAGGAGTTAAAGTTCAGGAACCCGAGATTTCAGGGTTTTTCGTGTGTGTGTGTGTGTGTGTGTGTGTGTGTGTGTGAGAGAGAGAGAGAGAGAGAGAGAGAGAGAGAGAGAGAGAGAGAGAGAGAGTTTGTGTGTGTTTTTTTTTTAAACGAGCAATAGAGCTTAAGGGACTTTTTTTCCCTCAGCATAAAACTTGATGGTGGTCAGTACTAGGTTACATTAAAGTGGGCGAAAGACTGGTTAGAGATGTGCCCACAGAGTCGGTATTTAAGACATGGAGTACTGAGACAGGGATTCAGCATCCAGGCGGCTTCCCCAGGAGCAAGTTTAGAAATCGGGCTCTATCTTCCCCACCCCCAAACTCAAGGTTGGCGCCATACAGCAATGCAGGCCGGTCCAGGGGAAAAAAAAAAGCCCTTTCTCCCTCAACCCCAAGTCACCTCAGCAAGGTCCCAGCTCTGCCTAGAGGACGCCGACTCACACTTTCAAATGCGTTGCTTTCCCTGCAGAAGCAGACTTCCCCCAACCCGCAGACACCCCGCGGCGTGCGCCTCCCCAGTCCTTCCACCCTGGTGGACTGGGAGGTGGCGGCCCAGCTGGAGCGCACGAGGACCAAGAAGGAGCCGGCCTCGGGCGGCGAGGAGCGTGGAGAAAATGCCGGTCCTGGGGACCGAGGACTGGGACTTTGTAGGCCAGTTGAACTGACACCCTCATCTTGCCCGCAAAGACCCAGCTCTCAGCTCCCGTCCACCTTGGAGTTCGGAGTGTCGTGCGCCCCGGATGGGCTGCCCGGAGCTGAGTCCCGCCACTCGTTCTTGGCACCGCGGAGGCTCGGCGAACGTTCCGCAAATAAGCCACCTGCCCCGCCCGGCCTCGGTCTGCGGGCTCCGAAACCAGCCCTCGAAGGGTTACACGACGCGCAGCGCACGCGGCCCGAAAGTCAGTGCTGGGGGCGCGGGAGGCGTGCGCCCCCGGCCCCATAACCCACCCGTGCGCGAGGGCTGCACGCCGAGAAACTTCCCAGCGGCCGCACGCCGTGCCCGCGAGGCCCAGCTGCGCGCAGCCCGGTTACCTGTGCTCAGCCCGGCGAGGCGGGACCGAACCGCGACACCAGGGACTCAAGCCGTTTCCTCCCGCACGGCTGCCGCAGCCCGGCCCGCGCGCCCCGATGTTCCCGTAGCTCGGTGCGCGCCGGGCCGAGGATCCGCGGCCTCTCTAGACCTGCTCCCGGTCCTGGGGACCGCCGCGGGGCCCCCGCCGCGCCGGGAAGGACATGTGCGCTGGCGCAGGGCCCCTCGAAAGTTGCGGGGTCCTCTCGCTTGCTCTCTCGGCGGGACCTGGCTCCACGTGCTGGTGACACATCAGGAAGGCTGCGCGCTCCGTGGCTCCCAGAGGACCGACACGACCAGCGCCCGCCCAGCACAGCCTCCTCGAGCCCAGCGGACCGCGCTCCGCCCCAGCCCGCCCTCCGCCCGCCCCTCGCCGGCGCCGCCCCCGGCCGAGATGCCTGCTCCCGCTCCCGGCCCAGGCGGGAAGACTCTGCGGGGAGTGGGGCGGGGGGCTCCCCCTCCAGAGTCGCCCCGGGCCGAGGACATGGACGCTGGCCGCCCGACTCGACAGTCTCGAGTGCCTTCCACCCAGTCACGCAGCCCTTCCTACCCCTCTGAGCCCCAGTAATTTTCCCTTTTCCTCCTCTGGCGGGTCCGATCCGCTGCCGACACTTCCTCCCGTGAAGACCGTCTCCGGGAGCCCCCTGCCGGCAGCCCTTGCTCTCCGGCTGCGCCCCCTCCTCGGCGCAGCGCCCTGCAGCGGGCCTCAGCCTCCCCACCCGCAACCTAAGCAGGGACAGAGCCTTTGATGGCTTCGTGGCAAACCCAAGAGATGATACATTTTAAGTGCCCAGCGTAGTTCCCGGGGAGAGAACCTCTTGGAAAACTGGGTTCCTTTAAGGGTGAGATACAGTTAGGGACATTTCCCAAAACTGACCTGCTTGCTACCTGTTCCCGGTCTCCTCTCTCTCTGCCTGCCTGCTCGTGAGTGGTTAATTGTGTGTTTATCCGCGGCCGGTGTGGACCCTCGGTAGGCTTCTGCCAAAACAAGTACTAGACGGTAGACGGTTGATTTCAGGGTCCATAGAGAAGCCAAATAACACCCGAGATTGAGTTCCCTAACTATCTTCAGGTGGAGGCTTGGAGTTATTTAACTTAAAATAACGCGACAGTCCTGCTGAGGATATTGGCTAATTTCGTATCTTCTCCTTCCTGCCCCCACTACCCAAAACTTGCTTTAAATCCTGTAGCGGGGCTGAGTGCTTTCTCTGTATCTGGTACCAAAGTACCGTTATGACAGGTGCTCTGGGCAACAACTCTGGAAGCGCTTGAGGGCAGAAGGCTCTGTGCCCTAAAGGGGACCGGCGCAGGCTTCAGGTTTCTGTAATCCCCATTATTTCGGACCCTGGATTAGAGGGGCAGAAAAGAGGATACCCTGGCATGGCTGGTGACGTGTTCCCCTCCCTTTTATTATTGCCCTCTGACAAACCATTCGGATCTGCGAGATTCGGGAGGCTAGAGGAGCCAGTGTCCTGCGGGGATGAAAGGGCAAGGATGTAATGGGTTTACCCAAGCACTGATCCCAGAGAAGCCCTCCAGATTTGCTACTTGGGCCTGAAATCCCCCTACTACCCCCTGACCACATCAAAGGACATGGCTGTGGGCGGGGAGGGGGGGACACCTAATCCTATCAATGGAATCAAAGCTGGACAAGAATGGAAATTCTGTAAATTTAGGGTAGCCACAGGCAGGATGCAAGACAACAGCACACAAGAGAAGGGCAGTTAGTAGGGATGTGGTCTTCTCATTACACTGCAAATGCCTCCTCTCCACTGCCAGTCAATCCATAAACAAAGCAGATCCGTTACTTCTTAAGGTAGCCCTATAGGAAAGTTGAGCACAGGAACTGATCAAACCGGGCAGTGAAACTAGTCTTGCCTCCAGGGTCAGATAGGGATCCAGAGAAAGTAGGAACTCCCCCAAGGTCACAGTCTGCTGGTCCCATATTTGCAAGGGCTTCCAATGCCCCTTGCACCTCTTAAGAGGCAGCTGGCCACATGGGAGAGAGTGTTCATGTTAAGTAAAAGAAACAGCAGTGAACAGTTTTAAATCTAATTGTCTTAAGTATTGCTGTCACCTGGTGTCCATCCAGAGAGAGCAAAGAGCTTCAAAGAACCTGGATAGCATGGGGCTCCTTTTTCTCTCTCTCTTTTCTTCTTGTGTTTAACAATTTCCCTCAATTTTCTCTTGACCCAGATAGTTTTATGAGGCAGAAACCCCCACAGCCAGGAATGCATTCTTTACAGCAAGAAAACTCACGTGGGATTACTAGTTTTGTCAACATGTGGAACCTGTTTCAATTCCCCAGTGCCGATGCAGACTTCCACATGAATCTCCTCCCGGTGGGCCTGTTTCCCCACTGGCAAGTTGGGAAGTATTTCCCTCTGTGCCTTCCTCTGGATCCAGTGGCAGGAAGGGAGGGGTTGGTTGTGACAACTGGCACCTGATCTGGTGACCTTTTCCACACAATATTGCTGCTGACCTGGGGTATAGTCACCTCACTCAGGAGTCTCTGAATGACTTTCTATGGGTAGGGTAGATGTTTGGAAGGTTCTAGAATCCTTGGTTGAGGGCCAAGCCATTAGCCAGAATGCTACAAGTCTCTTCTCTTTTTGCCATTTAAGACAGATTTTTTTTTTTTTAAACTAGGTACTGGGAAGGAAACCAGGGGGTCTCATGATGGACAAGTGCTCTAGCACAGAGCTATATCTTTGTCCCTTAAAACATTTTTTTTTTTGAGACAGGGTCTTAGTAAATAGCACAGATTGGCCTTAAACATTTTTCTGTAGCCCAGGCAGTCTTGAACATTTGATCTTTCTGCTTCAGCTTGTTGAGTAATTGGGATTATGAGCCTGTGCCACTAGGTCTCCTAGAGACCTGGCTTGATGCTTGCATTTATTAACTCCTACCCTCGTGTGTGTGTGTGTGTGTGTGTGTGTGTGTGTGTGTGTGCGCGCGTGCGTGTGTGCGTGTGTGTGCGTGCACGAGTGCGCGGGTGTGTGTGATGTGTAGGTCACTGTGACCTTTTACCTTTTAGGAAGGGAATGCAACTATCCAGGAAACTCTTCTCTATCAGAGCCACCTGGTCTAAAGTACAGCTCACATCCAATCATCTATGGATGGTCTTTGCCTCTGTCCACACCTGCTTCCTACCCCTCTGGGCCTCTGGGGAATGCAACCCTTGCCAGCATGTCTGTGTGTCCTTGGCTGGTGTGGCTGATTCTGATGGTTTGGGTAACTACCTAGTTTTCCTGTTGAGTAGTGGTGTCTATCAGACAAGTATAGTGCTCGCTTGGCCCACAGCTGGCAAAAGATATGGATGCAAGAGTCAAGTGGCAGTATCCAGGGATTTCTGAAAAGTTTTCTGCTTCTCCTGCAGAGCACTAAATCCGGGAACTGGAGGTGAAGCTAGAGTGCTTCTCAAACAAAGCTCTGGGATTGATCCCCAGTCCTACGGAAAACCAGCTGTGGTATTGCTATCTGCCTATAATCCCAGCAGTTGGGAGGTGGAGACAGGAGGGTCACAATTCTAGGTCATTCTCAGGTTCAAGACTAGCCTGGGATACATGAGTCTCTGACTTGAAAAGCAAGCCACAAAAGACTTTGGGTAACCTTGAAACAAATCTTGTCATTTCTGAGGCTATAAAATAGCTCAATAGGCTGGTGGCTTTAGTTAGTTTTTGTCCCCAGTGATGGGTTTGGACCTGCAGGGTCTGCTATTATAAACATCTATAGAGAATAAGTATTTATGTCTTTATTTAAAAAATATATTTGTCCTATAGTTTGCAGGAGTTGTACACAGGGGAAGATGCCCTGGATCGTCATGTCTGAATTTCAAAGATAGACAGGGTGAAGACAAGCATGGTAGTACACCCCCAAAACTAGGAGCTGAAAGAGTAAGAGAAACAGTCCCACTGATGGACAGGAGCTTAGAAGATACATTCATTTTTAAATAGGCAAACAAGCTGGGTGCTGGTGGTACAAACCCTTGGTCCCAGCACTCTGGGGAGACAGAGTTGGGCAGATCTCTGTGAGTTCAAGGCCAGCCTGGTCTACAAAGAGAGTTCCAAGACAGCCAAAGACCAAAAAATAAATAAGTAAAATAAAATAAGATAGGCAAACCGATGCAAAGGAAATCTACCGGCACTTGGGAGGATAAGGCGGGAACACTAAGAGCTCAAACCAGCCTGAGACTTCTAAACAGAAAATGGCTACGTGTGTTTCTATGGTGGTAACTGGGAGGGGATACATGAAAGAGGCTTTGGAAGCACCTGCTAAAAGTCTCTGAATGGACAGGGACCTCTTACAACTCGTTAACACATTCATCTGATTTGAATAATTTGGAAATCTGTGTTTCTGTTTCTTTGTACAATAAGAGAACTGAGACTTTGTCTCTCCAGGGGCAGGATATTGGAGTAAAACTCACAGCAGGAAGCATAAAAGATACAGCTGCAGAAGTCTTTAGTCAGATAGTATTCTCTCACAGGAAGAAAGGGCCTGGCAGTATATTGTATACTTAAAATCTCCTGGAGGTCAAGGTGCCCACAAACCATCACCCGGGCATTGTGGCTCTCACACTTTGGTGCTAAAACTCTCTGACATGTCAGAGAGAGGACTAGGCCAGGAGACTCTGGGAGTGAGGGAGAATAGAGCCTGCAGCTCTAGTCCTGTCATCGTGGAGGATTTTGACTGGATTGGGTTGGGAGTGAGGGGCCACATAGCTCTTACTACGGGCTTTCAGTGGCTACACCTGGTGCTATAGAGGGCAGTCATAAAGAGGTTGTGGCTGCTTGAGGTCCCTTGCTTGACTCTAGCTCTGAGGTGGGAACTAAGAATCTCAGGGCACAAGGCATTTGGAAAAGACCTCTTGCTTTCCTCCCTTGACAGGGTCTCATGTAGCCCAGGCTGGTTTCAAACTTCCTAAGTAGTGAAGGATGACCCTGAACTTGGGCTATTCCTGCCTTCATCCCCCAAGGGCTGAGATTACACTATCATGCTGGGTTTCTAGGGTGCTAGTGATCAAATCCAAGACTTTGTGTGTGCTATCCAAGGACTCTACCAACTGAGTCCCATCCCTGGCCCTGAGAAGCATTTATCAGCTTTAGAATTTAGCAATTG